TCTGCGCGCGCGCTTATCTTGTGAGCGAACAAAGGGGGGAGGAAAGGGGGGCTCATGATTGCCGCGCTATCGCGGCTACGATCAGCGCGCGCCTCTTTCCCCCACAGCAGAACGAGCTTCGACGGTCTGCGCTCTCAACACGAAAAACCTGTGCCAAAAGTGTGCCCGGAGTGGCTACATGCAGATTCACTCTATATACACATAACTGCCACCAGCGGCGACACACGACGTACAGCCCTTAGTACCAGCACGTGCTGCCCACGGGAGGCGCTTCTCATCAACACCGTCACTACTGTTGTGGTCGTCTACTGTGGCCGCGCTGCAGGAAACTTGGTTACTTGCAAGCGCACGTTTACTACAATTAACATTGCTCCTAAACTTGCTAGCCTTGCTTCGTAAAAAATTCGAATAAGTTGCTATCGCATTCACTGCTTCGCCCTTTTGGTGAAACTGATTTTTTCAGTACAGTTTTGATCAGCTTGCAACTCAAAGAGGGAAGAGGACCAAGAATGAAGGTAACACGCGCGCTGACTCTCAACTAAATGTTGTTATAAGAAGCGGCGCGAATAAATGCAAAGGTCAATCAAGTCTCAGCAGAGTGACTGCGCGTCTGCAGCAGTCATCCTAGTGACGTCACAATTCTGGAACACGTGGATCAAGCACTTCCGCCCGCAAACAAAAGTACAAGTAAGCGCGTGTTCTGGAATTTCGACGCTGCTTGGGTGACTATGCGAACACGCGCACTCGCTCTGTTGAAACTAGGTTGGCCTTTGTATTTATGCGTGCCATTTCTTTTAGTAAATTTTTATTGAGTCAGTGCTCGTGTTGTCACTTTATTTAATTCTGGTCCTGGTCTTTTTTTTTTTTGCTGTAAGCACGCCGAAAATGAGCTATCATCAACTAACCTAGATTTTCTTTCTTGTATAGTACATGACGATAGTTATTGCGCGAGAACAAAACGACGACACAGAGACAAGAAGGACACGAAAGACACGAGCGCAAACTTCCAACTGAGTTTATTGCGCAGAGCATGAAAATATATAGAGGAGACAGTGACCATGGCACAAGAGCAGAACATGAGTAAGAAAACCAAAAACAAACAACACAAATACAAAGGCACTGAAAAACAGCAAAGAAAAATCTAGAAGAAACCGAACCAGAAAGGTAAAGCTACCTGCCCGCACCGAATCTATCTAGACCCTATCTAGACCGTCTAGATAGGGTAAAAACGCAGGCCAGGGAAATGTGTCGTAAACTAGAGTTAAAACAGTTAGCACAGTACATTAGCAAAAGTGACAAAAATGGGCTCAGCATGTTTTTTTCTGCCAAAACACATAAGGTTGACATGCCCTTCCGTGTCATTGTGACAGAGAGTGGTATGTGGCAAAAGCAACTCGGCTTGTTTATTCAGACCCATCTAAAGTGTCTAAAGATTGACGACCCATTTGTGATCAAAAACTCGCAGGCTCTGATAGAATTTTTCAAACAACCAAATCAATCTAATCTTTTCGGTTTTTCAATTGACATAAAGGACCTATACTACTCGCTGCCTCACAATGAGGTACTAGAATGTATAAGGAATAACATAGAAACTTTCGGAGAATTGAACTTCCAATTAAAAACTGGCATTAGTTCGCGGGATTTTCTTGACCTGGTTTTGCTGTATCTTACGTCTACTTTCGTTCAATGGAATGATTGCATTTATCTGCAGAAAAAGGGTGTTTCAATTGGTTCATGCATAGCACCTCTACTCAGCGATCTTCTATTGGCAAAAATGGGCAAAAAACTACAGGAAAAGTTAGAAGGCTCGCATGTCGTCAAAATGTTTAGATACGTGGATGATTTTTTGGTTATTCTAAATTGTGAGTCTTCTATGTTTCACTCGTTGGCCACTCAAACTATAGGCGTGTTCGAAAATTGTTTGCAGCCTCTTGTGGTGACACATGAAATGCCCGATAATGACAAATTACGCTTTTTGGATTTAAATCTGGTTTTTAGCTCACAGCACATCTGTTGGTGTTATGAACCATGTGCGCAGAAACCTCTGCTTCCCTTTTCTTCTGCTCACAGTAAGATAGTTAAGCGAGGCATAGCACGAACCTGCCTTGAGAATGCTTTAAATAGGTCTTGCGCCCACAATATCTCTGCGAGCTTTAAAGCTCAAGTTTCCCGCCTTAAGGCTTCAGGTTTCCCCGAGGCGTTTATCGCGTCTGTTGCGGAGACGATCCTGCGGACTAAAAAGGCGGAGCAGAAAACGCGACAGAATCTGATCAACACAGATACAGAACGTGAAAGGGTAGCCGTGATTCCATACATACACCAGATATCACATAGGCTCAAAAAAATCGGAAAACGTGTTGGAGTTCGTGTCATGTTCTCAGCACCGTTCAAATTAATCAGCCTCACCAAATCTACCAACCCCCTGAAAACGAAATCATCAACAGATTGTAGAGTTCAACATCGAAACAGGTATGCGGCCTGCTCCCGGGAAGTCGTCTATAGGACCCCCCTTTCATGTGGTGCTTGTTATGTCGGAACGACCGGAAGGTGCCTGAACGATCGACTGAGAGAGCACGCGAACAATGTTAAAAACGGGAAAGATGGATTTCTTGCCCAGCACTGCACTGAGTGCAAGTGTTTTCCCCTCTTCGAGGAAACAGCGACGTTGTACAAACACAGAGATGTGGGCACCCGAGTCATTGTCGAGGGTGCGCAAATGGCACGCGAACAGGTGCCTTGTGTTAGCAAGCCCTCCGTGGCCTTGTCCGAGAAGGAGCGCAGGTTCCTCGAAGGATTCGGTGCGGGCAGGTAACGCGAACAGGTGCCTTGGATTAGCAAGCCCTCCGTGGCTTAGTCCGAGAAAGAACGCAGGTTCCTCGAAGGATTCGGTGCGGGCAGGTAGCTTTACCTTTCTGGTTCGGTTTCTTCTAGATTTTTCTTTGCTGTTTTTCAGTGCCTTTGTATTTGTGTTGTTGTTTTTGGTTTTCTTACTCACGTTCTGCTCTTGTGCCATGGTCACTGTCTCCTCTATATATTTTCGTGCTCTGCGCAATAAACTCAGTTGGAAGTTTGCGCTCGTGTCTTTCGTGTCCTTCTTGTCTCTGTGTCGTCGTTTTGTTCTCGCGCAATAACTATCGTCATGCCATACCAACTAGCCCAAGCTGCCACACTTCTATGTATAGTACAGCTAGCAAAAGGGATGAACTGCGTGATGCTGGCACGCTTAATTGCACTGTAACGATGCAAGCTGGAAATAAGGCAGCAAGATGGCTCATGTGCCGTTAAATGAATGCCTCTTATGGTGTGCCATACCTGCACAACTCCATTTTATTCCATGTTAGCTTTCACGTCAATATCGTGGCTAAATAATGTACGTATGGCTTTTAAGACTAGTTTCGTGTGTATTTTTGCATAAAGGAGTATATCTGGCTGGCATCAGACAACTAATCACGTTCTCTCCCGTGCGTACGGGTTGTACATAGTAAAAAAAAAAACCTGAAACTTAGTCAAGCAACCATCGTCGTGTACTTTCAGTTTGATTCCCGTGGGGCTCCTTGTCAGAGAAGTAATGCATTTTCGTTCATCATATACTTCAATCTCACTAACAGAGACAACTATGTGGAGCAGATAGGTGAAGATAAAAAATTGACTAGTTGAAGACAATGCAAACGTGAATCTTTGGAAACTAGTCTCTTTTCATTACTTTAAGCATATAGAGTGTTTTATTCTGTTTTTTTTTTTTTTTTGCTTACGAGCTTGCACTGTAGTACGAGTATTTGCCGCACAAAGGTCTACAAAGATTGGTGTTAGCTACACATGCTCAAACTAATAGTATGGTCTTGGTGAGCATAAAGACATTATGGAACTGACTCGCATCGTGTTGTACTTCTGAAATGGCCTTCCAGTGATCTCTATGGGTGCTCTGAATGGAAAGCGGCGGTTCGTGGTTGGTCGCTATACTAACACATGGTAGAAACTCTGTAGTGGCCTCTCATCGCACGTTTCGGGCATCGTTTTGCAGCATCCACGTCGTTACCTCCATCTTACCCTCCTTCTTCCCTTCCTCAGACTAAAGTGCCTGGGTTACGGTCTCCCTTTTCGCACGGAAATCGCCAACATGTCTTTGAGAACTCCCTGGGCAGTGACGTCTCTTGTATTACCATGGACTGTGAGGTGCCAAAGGCAAGTTAATAGTGGTGCATTCAGGTCTCTTCCGAACCATTTTGTTGCTTCCACGAGCACATGTTGAAGTCGAGCACCTGATGACGTCTTCGGTTCCTTACGACCACATTTCGATCAGAGCGAAGCGGATAAGTGTCTCTCTTTTTGCAGTCAGATTTATATTAAAGAATTGGTAGTCCAACTTTATCTGTACCTTTCCCATACAGGATACCTCATAACTTAACATGGAATAGGTGCGAATCTTTTTATTGCTGTTTATTTATTTTTCTACATTGTCCTGCACTTGTTGCCTCCTTCGACAGAGAGCCTGTATGACAAAGCTTAAGTTGACATTAAAACAGAACTTAAGTGAGCAAATATTATGTAACTGGCAGACCACTTGAGTGGGCATTATTTCTCTCGATGTTTGTATCACGTTCAATACTGCAATTGGGACACACTACATGGCCCCGAGTTTCGGCAATCCGTGGAGCTGTCAGTGCTTCCAAATGTTATCATGTTATAGTGGCCGCATTGGTGCTTTGCACTCTTAGTAATCACAGCAGTTCATTATAGGCATCATATAGCAGCCTTAGTAGCCTGCAGGGGTCTTCGCAGTTTATAGTAACCCATAGCAATTTATACTATAGCAGTTTATAGTTGCCTTAGCAGTGTATAATTGCCACGCTGGTACTTCACAGTCTTGGGTACTAGTATCTGCCCATGGTTCCTCCTCGAAATGTTGTCGTCCGCATGGTCCTTGCACGTCGTAGTCGTTTCTCTGTTTTACAAACTTTACCATCGAACCTCGCCCTTCGTCATTTCTTTTTGCTGTCCAGGATGCTCGTCGCAGGGCCAGCGTCGCCTGTGTCCGCAGACCATCGGGAGAGGATACCCGGGGAAACCTTGTCTACTTAGTAAGCTCCTTCGACAAGCCACATAAGAACAAAGGTGGAATGGGAGCAGTACAGCCTCCATACCCTATTCAAAAGTTGTCCATCAGTTCATAACCATAGTCCAACACAAGGCTGAAATTATGATCTAATATCTTCCATCATACTGAATACCTTAATGGACTTGGTGGAGGCATGCTTGGTGGTAGTGTGCTCTCTCTGAGCGAGGAAGAAACCCTTGCCTCCATGTCCAAGTCCACTGAACTTGGAACTGAGGGAGACCACATCAACAGATGCACACTGTAGATGTGTTCTCCAGGACCGAGAAGCTTATCATATGCAGCTGTGTTTGTGGAATGCTGCTCTTTCGATATCCGTTTGGGCTAGGCAACTGACAGCTGCATGCAGACGTGTGTGTGTTTATATATATATATATATATATATGGTGAAAAACTTTCCATAATGGTGGAGCATGGTAAGTTGTGATGAAGGGATTTGTAAGAGGCCAGCATATACGACTGTTTTCCCCTGTCGGAACGACTCGAACCTATGTGAGGCACGAACGTTTTCTGTGTGTTCGTAGTGGCTGATTGCTTGGTTATAAAGATGCTACCAGCATCACGGTTTACACCATATATTTAGTTCTAAATCATCTATATACTCTCATGTGTAACATCCTGTAAATGTCTTTTCTTGATTCTCTGTTATTCATTGCATTTTTATGCTCTGGCTTTTTTACCCCTTTCTACTTCTGTCTGTCTTGTCTGTGTGTCGTTCAAATCTGCAGTGTCCTCCAGTCCAGCTTCTGAAACTGTCGCCATGGCGTCCATGTCAACTGCGTCTTATGTGATTTCTTTATGTGATCAAACGTGACAATATTTAGTATGGTCCTTAGTATTCGCTTCTCTAGTTTTCTTTTTGTGCATGTTAGTTCCTCTACCCTCTCTGTCCTTGTCAAAATCATCAGGACCTTCGTTTGCAATGTAAGCTTGTCACACGTACGAGCACTTCATTGTGCCTATCTCTTGATGCTGTCTTTCAAGAAGTCCTTGAGCATCTTTTGTTTCTCTGTTGATGCCCCTGCTTTCATTGCCTCACATACAATCGATGAAAAATTATACCCCAAGGATTTTTTCCGATTCCTTGAACGTCAAGTCTGTATGAATATCTTTAATGCTTCATGGATGGTATTGTGGATTCACTGAGTGACACGTGCGTGTCGCAACTTTGACCGAGGTGCAGTCAGGAAAACCTAATGATCAATGGTTACGACGCATCTGGTATATTAAAGGCGACTTGCCAATCGCATGTAAGCCGAATGAAGGTATAATGAAATGTAGTCACTCCTCTAGCTCCTCTTTAGTGTGCCTGATGTCGAGGAAAATCTTTTCTACCTCTGCAATTAAGCTTGTAAGAACTTCGAGCAGCCACCATGGGTAGGTTTAATTGCCCTTCATCGAACTTTGCCTCGCGAAAGCCACCTGAGCTCTGAGAGTACCTGTTCTGCACTAAAGCGAGATGATATTCTATTTACACAACTTATCAACGACAGATACGCTTTACACAGCCCGAAAATAACTGTTCGTTCACCTCAGCTTCAATTTATGCTTCATTGTACATATTACGGTAGAAAACAGGCATAATTTAACAGCATAAGTCAATGTAAATTATGACCACATACTGTTTTTACTGACAAATGGCATTAATTAAAAAGACAGAGAGCTTTTTTCTTTTTTTTGTATACAGAGGAAGCTACCTAAGAGTGCATGAAAAATCACACATATGTCTTTCCCTCTTCTTTAACGTAAATTTAAGTTAAACGCACTGATAGCTCACAAGACGCCAATGTGGGGTAGTGGAGAGGCGTGCGCTGCCCATTTTACCGTTCATGCTTACCGCCCCGCCGCGGTGGTCTAGTGGCTAAGGTACTCGGCTGCTGACCCGCAGGTCGCGGGTTCAAATCCCGGCTGCGGCGGCTGCATTTCCGATGGAGGCGGAAATGTTGTAGGCCCGTGTGCTCAGATTTGGGTGCACGTTAAAGAACCCCAGGTGGTCGAAATTTCCGGAGCCCTCCACTACGCCGTCTCTCATAATCATAGGGTGGTTTTGGGACGTTAAACCCCACATATCAATCAATCAATTCATGCCTACCGTTGTGACTGTGCACGTGGTACTACCTCAGGTTCAATGGCACTGTCACTGACTTGTCAAAAGTTGTGCACACTTTCTTTTTGTGCTCTGGCAACTCTACTAGTCTCTCCCCCATTTTTTTTTGTTTCTATACTTTGCATGTGTGGACCACCCGCTCATTGAGTGAAGTGTTCATGCTATTATGAACTTATGGTGGTTCTCTTTCTTCCTGTTCACTTAAACACATGCTGCCTCAGATGCCGAAAGGCATCCTTCGAATGCCTAGGAAATGAAATGGTAAGTGGCACCACCTGGGCTATGTCGGCGCATCTTGCGCATGCGAACATGGCTTTCTTGATTAACTCCGGTAGAGCAGCGGCGCACTGTCGGTGCTAATTACGGAGGTCTCGGTGCGAACGTTAGCGTGCAGTGTAGCGCTATAACACGGCCATTTCAGCGCCTACCCAGGTGTAAACGAGTCGGTATGCTATCAGAAACTTTACAGTCGCATCGTGGTTAATGAGCCATCAATTGTGCTGCATTGCAATTAAACAGAGATATTTTCATTATTGGGATGAGGTCATTGCTGTGGTTTTTGTTTTTTGGTTGCTTTGACAATTCGATGCAGAGCTGGCCATTAGTGTAGTTAGCAGTGTGTTACCGTCTACCGGCACTGCTTACGCACAACCACGCATGCGCGCATTCTGGATAATGACTAGTTTTTTATGCAGTGAACAGATATGGCAGCGATATGCCTTACCAAAGTTTGGATCACTATGCGTGGCTGAGTTTTCTGCTATCTAATTGAGTGTACACTCTTGCGTAATTGAATTCGCCTTGCTGCTAGCTGCATCCGACGTTGCATAAATTTTTGCGTGGGCGTCAACAGGGTTTTGTCTTGTAAGTGCAAACCTGTGCTTCATCGATTGAGGCGGGAGAGAGCGGTGTAGGGTGGTGATGTAGCTAGGAGGTGGGTAGGGAGCAGTATCTCTTGTGCACAGGCTTCCGGATGCCCACGTGACAGGCTAGAAGGGTTCTTGCGAACATCTTCGAAAAGATGGCGCGCTCCGCTGAGTTCAAAGGGCACTTTCTTTTTCATTATTTTACTGGCGAAGCTCACACTTGCGCATTGTATAGGGGAGCTGGTTAGGTGTCCCCAATGTGACTAGCATCTGTTGCTGCTCTGCGCGTCCCCTACCCTGCAGGACTCCCGGGGCCGGCTGTTTAGCATCCCGGGCGGCTCAGCGAGCACTTCGTCGGTGCCAGGCCCCGTGCGTGCCCTGCGAGCCCTCAACCTGGGTCCCCGGCGCTGTTCGCTTCCGGCGCCCCACGCCGTGCTTCTGCCTACGGCACAAGAGGCCGACGCGGCGCGAGCCGCCGTCGACGCCGCGGCCTGTTGCAAGTCATACGTATGCTTGATCAATGGCATCAATATATAAAATCGCAAGGCACACGTCTTGCCATGCACACGTCTTGTCATTCTATATCTGAGAAATTTCGCTTTTATTTGCTTTTATTTTTTATCATCGTAATACTGACGTCTTCTGCTTACCTTTTGCGGGCTCCTGTTGAGCGATTAATGCTACCGCTACGCCCGCAACGCCCACAAGCTTTGCGTACAGTATGTGCTAATTCTCGACTATTTGTTTGTGCCTTTTGTGTCTTAAATAAATCTTGCCTTGTGTGTAACCTGTGCTTTTATTGTTGAGGTAAGTTTTAATTAGTACTTCTCAAAGCTTGCTGTTAGTTGCTGGCGTGAGAATCCCAATTTGCGGCCACTTCCTTCTCTTTTTCGCTCTGTACGTTTTGCTGGAAAGTTTTTCCCGTGTAATTCTCGCACCGCGCCAACGTTGCATCGGTTTTCCACCAAATAAAGTGCGAAGATTATGCGAGTAAATACGATATTTTACCTAAAACACGCGTGTTTCGCGATCTTGGGCTGTCAAGCCTATGTTTTTTGTTTTCGTATACCGCGATGTGAATTAATAGGGTCATGACACTTCGCATGCTCAAACTTAATCGTTTTCATTTGTATGCGTCTACCATAAGGCAGTTGGTTTAGCTGTTAAAAACAAGAAACACAAAGGTTAACGACCCAGCATATCGCCACTGAAACCCCTCTTTAAAGTAGTCTAGACGATGCTTCAAACAGCAATCTCAAGGAGCAACATATGCAAGAGGTGTCCCTCTCACCCTGAACGCAGGGGCTCAGTACCCCAGTGCCCCCCTTCCCCCCTCCCTATAATTAATAAGGGTCCTCGACTCCACATCTCTGACCTCATTTTAATGTGACACACCATGGTAGTGTCTTGTTAATTAGTCCAAAGTGTCCAATTAGTCCAAAGCCATTATCATGATGGCCAAATGCCAGAACATATCCATGTGCCTATATTTGAAAGCATGTTAAAGAACCCAAGTGTAGTCGAAATTTTATCCAGAGTACCCCACTATAGCATTCAACATAATCATGGTGATATTTTCGCCTTAAAGTTATAATAGTTATTAATAATCATAGCAAATTTCGGGCGAATCTGTAAATCCTGTATTGAAACAGTACAGAAGCAAAACAGACAAAAGAAATAAATAGACGAGTGCTGCAGGGTTAGACAGGCAAGTTTGGGATTTGGTTCAAAGGTACTCGTAGACAGCCACGACACATGGCTGGAAGTTCGCTTGTTGTAGCTGTTAACATGTCCCATTATTCAATGGCCTCTTAGCTGTTTCAATGAATATTTGAGTTTTGTCTTTCGCTATTCCTTCTCAAATTCACACTGGTTGTCTTGCGGTATTGCAAGCCTAAAATTGTTGCTTGCAGGTCGAATGAATCCTTTGTCTCTTGCTCTGCTTAATAAACGTGCAGGATGGATTTGTAACGACTAGCCCATTGCTTATCTTGTGCACTGAATGAAGTTATGTCAATCATCATTCGTAAATGTCCACAATTTTCGGCAGGGAGTGTCATGTGGAGGAGGACACTGTGGGATCTGCAGCTAAAGCCAATGGTTCACACCCCCATGGTGCAACCAGTGGAGACCACGGAGTTCCCAGCTTGTCTGCCCTTGAGCCCAGTGGCCATGTTACCGAAGAAAGGTGAGGTAATTCACTTACTGTGCAGCGTTCCATACATTCCTCATAAGGTAAGAAAGATTGGCTGGTGTGCGAGTGCCTGCCCAACACACCCTTATGGGCACTTTTTATGCAAGGCTCCGTAATTTCTTTTTCGTTACTTTCCTGTTTCTCTTCTATCCTCCTTTCCTCTATCTCTTCCCCCTCCCAAAAGATTAGGTAGGCATAGCCTACTAGGTGGCAGTTGCCAGCTTGCTATATCTCGCTATTTCTTTGGTGTTCTTTTTTTTTGTGCATATAGAAGGACTTTGCAGCTCATGGCTCCTGAAAACAACCTATGTTCTTTTGTTAGAGAGTAATGAACTCCTTTCACTTTCAGTATTGTGGTTATTTCTGCTCACGAAACATTCTTGGTACTTGCATCTTCATATTGCTTTATTTTTGTGCCATTTTAACTCGAAAATGCTTGATGCCATAGTCCACCACAGCTTCATTGACATATTTCCACCAAGCATATAAGGTTGCAAAATATATGCCAAATATCACAATTAAAGAACAAGAAGTTTCGTCACTGGGAGACAAACCTGCGGCCTGCCTTTGCATATTGTGAAACTACTTGGCCCCAACCAGACGTTCTTTGCAGTACTAACGGTGAGCTATTTATATACATTGTTTACTGTCGGTGGTACTCGGAGCTCAGTGGCTTCCACGTCTTCTCGTTATGGCTAGCAAGATGGCTCGATGGGCCCGAGAGTGTGCTTTAGGGGTTCTTGCTTTGTACTATGTGCTGTGCGGGCACTTATCATCAAGGTTCATATTTTAGGTGTACAATTGTGGTCCACAAAAGCAGAAAATTAGAGATAATTTAAACTGTTTACCACTGTTCAGTTCAAGGTTGAATTAGTCTTAAGCCTATCTTTGAGAGATATGTCATGTTGTACTGATATTTCACGCTCACCCAAAGGTCACGAGATCTAATCGCAGCCACAGCAGCCACGTTTCAACCAAAGCAAATGCCAGAGATGAGTGCACTTGAGTATAGTTATCCGTTAAAGATATTCGTGGAGCCTTCTTTGTAAAACGGTGTATCATAATGTTATGGTGTTTTTCAGGCATTAAACCCGGACAATAAAAATGTTGTGGTCCGAAAACTTTACCCCCCTTTTGTCCACTCCGGTCTGAAACTAAAGATAAGCTCAGAACAGTTAAAAGTTTACTTTTTCAGCGATGGCTTGTAGCGCAGGAAGAAACATGCGTGTGAACATCCACAAAAGTGGATTGTCTAGCTGTGTACAACCACAAACCTCTGGGGCCGTCTTTTGTGCTCAGGAGGGGCCTGACAACTGGCTGCAAAGAGTCAAAGTATATATCAGGTAAAAATGTGAAGTGATGGTAACACCAATCTTTTATGATCAGTAAACCAACAAGTAAGGCTAGTGTCTCTCGTGTCTCTACAGCACAACACAATAATAAATAAACTCGTATGTATATCGTTTGTTTTTCTTCAACTGTCAGTGCCCCATTTCTATCTTTCAGTTCACCTCTCCAAAATGGTGTACTCGAGGAATTGGTGGCTGCCACCGTTCAGGACACCTTGTAGCTAATCAGAGAGGCTGAATGGCATGGAGTATATGATGTGGATGAGCTTCGGGCTCGGGTCGAAGAAGATGAGGAAGGGAATCAAGAGGGCGATGGAGAGACAGAAGGCGGCAACACCAGGGAGGATGCTACCAACAGTTGACCTGCTTCACTGGGCAGCCAATGTGGTCGTCAGGGTGAAGTACTGGTGAGTGGTACCATGCTGTAGTGGGCTGTGCTGTTGATGACGAGACAACGTTCAGTACGGAGTACTGAAGTATTTAAACTCAGACTTGACACCAAGTGTTAGAGAATGTGAAATGTAGCGCAAACCGTTGCATGAATTGTAGAATGAGATAAACACCTCGTGTAGGGGATGCATTAGGCACGTGTGTTATGGTGTTATCATTCAATAGGTGGATGAAGTTAAAGCTCGGTTAGTACATTCTTGCCGGGTAGATGGTGACCATATTTATGGACAGTCCTTTATTGTGTCGCAGAACAGCAGTTAAGGTTGTGGCCAGAGTGCGTTCATCCTCGAGATTCGTTTTCAGCCAGGCCTGGCTTATTGCCAGCACACAAAGCTTTTACAGAAACAAATACAGTGGAACCCTGATTATGTATGCTTGAGGGAAAAAGGCAAAACCGCCATAATATCGAAAAAATAAGTGTATAGTCAGACACTACATCTTGGCCATAAGCTGGTACAGCCCGCCTGAATAAGCTCACAGGACGACTCTGTTTTTATCCAAAAGGGTGAAACAAATTATTTCTTGAAATGATAGCTATTCATTCAATTGAAGATAGTGTAAGCCAAACATACAAAAATTTAAATCAAAAGTTGATCTTTTTTCTGATCATTTCTGATCAATAGAGTTCGAAAATGGCTTGCACGTAAATATAAAACAAAAAACTGTTGGCTGCAGCCTTCCATCAAAACAATAAAATACAGGGTCATTAGCATCACATAATGGAGACAGAGCGCATTTTGCAGGAAGTGTGCGTTAAAGGCTTTGATGTTGCATTTGTTCTGCTGTGAAGAGCAGTTGATGCGCCACTGTTATTATGAGCAAAGTTATTTTACACGCTGCACCACTTAATTTCTACTTACTGAAATCACGAGACAGTACAGCAAACAAAGTGGCATTTCATTTCAAGTTTCAAGAGTAGCTCAAGCTTCTCCGCGTATATAAAGCTTGTCTTGGTAACAGCCCTGCATAGGCATGCATTCGAGGTATATCCACAAGTGGCCTTAAAGCCAGGAAAACTGGATCATGGGACCAAATGAACCACTAGAATAGATTGTTGAGTCCATAATTGAAGAATAATACTCTGTCATCCTACAGCACCATCAACCGAGGGCAATAGAAAACACGTTCACTTTCGGCGTCATCTATCGGCTAACAGATTAACCAGTCGCGGCTCGTCACGGCCGGTCTCGAGGCGCGCGCTCGCCTCCAGACTGGCCGTGGCGGGTCGATAAGCGCTGCTGGATGTCGCTATGATAGCACCATTGGCGCTGCCTTCAGTGCGTCTTCTGCAGAGAACAAATCAAGTATGGTGTGCGAGCACAGTATACAAGTAAAAGCACTGTCTCTCGGCCTTTGCGAGTTGCGCTTCGACAAAACAAGAGATGTATAGGCGAGAAGAGTACACTCAGGTGAAGGCATAATTGAACGCCCATATCCCTCCTTATCAAGTCATATCCCTCCTTACTACGCATACACACAGTCACTGTTCAGTCGAGTGGATTCGCGACCATCGTCTTCTTCATGTTCACTCATAATTTTGGAGAGACGGAGATGCTCAAATCACTGTGATTACTCGTGTAACCCTTGCACTCGCATGATTCTTGCACCCCTCACATCGGCCAACAAAATTAAGATTTCTTTTTTTCCTCGAGTAATTATCGCACCTCCGAAAATTGCCGCAATAATGTCGTCTGCTCTTTCCAACCATTGATGGTGATAGCGCGCACTATCTAGCGCCATCTCTTAAGCATCAAGAGTACTATTATTACACAGAGATTCAGTCCAATCCAAGCCAAACCAAAGTGGCAAGTGCGCCAGATTCCATGGTTGAAAATGCTTTTAAGAAATGTTCTATCAGAAACTCGCTGTGTGGTAGGGAAGACAACGCAGTGTGGAAGGCGGCTAGCGACAAACTCTCATGTTCAGAAGACAGTCTGAAGCTTCGTCTGACGAATAGGAACAGTAGCGATGGTGGTTGAGGGAAGCTCCGATGATCGGGGTGCGGTGCGCCCATTTTGCAAATAAATGTCGTTCGGCAATTTTTAGGTTTTTTTTCCTTTTTATTTCTTTTTCGGTAACCTGAACTTGGGGGGTAACCTGAACGTTTCGACCTATATTCCCACTCGACCTATAGTCCGGTTTGTACGGTACTTCTCAAAGCTTGCTATTAGTTGCTGGTGTGAGAATCCCGATTTGTGGCCAATTTGTTTTCTTTTTCGCTCGGTACGTTTTTTGGAAAGTTTTCCCCATGCAATTTTCGCACCCCCCAACTTTGCATCGATTTTCCGCCAAAAAAAAGTGCGAGAATTATGCGAGTAAATATGGTATGAGGTTATGACGAGGCAAGGTCGTTCTCAGGGTTTTCCTAGAGCGAGTCGCACGAGAAAATATAATTTTTATCTTTATTCACAACGTAGGGGAGATAACATAGGTGAAGCTGAAGGATATTTACGTGAAAATTTTCATCTTTGTTCACTGCAGAAACTGTAATTGCTGCATTACAATTTTCTCTAAGGACGTATTGATTGGTGCTCTGTGGAAAATTTTTCGAGCTCCAAGGACAGCATGGACTCAGGATAAAACAGAGTATCACTTAATGACACTCTGTATCATTCAGTGATAAACTCACAATCACGACTTCACCTGAGTGTATCCCTCTCGCCATACGTGTCTAGTTTCGTGCTTTTACGAGTATACTGTGCTCCCGCACTACACTCAATTTGTTCGCAGCAGGCGACATGCTGCAGGCATTTGGGGTTTCACTATCATAACGGGAGTGTAATCCAGCAGCGCTTGTCTACCGACCGTGGCTGGTTATTTTGTTTGCAGATAATGACGCCGATAGCGAACGTGTTTTCTTTCGCTGTCAGTTGATAGCGTTGTAGGTTGCCTCTGCAGCGCAGAGATACGATATGCAGAAACTGCTGATTTCTGCAGATTGGATCTGAGAAACTGCAGAAATGTTTGCGTGGGGATGAAAAACTGATCTGCAGCAATCTACTGCAGATCAGTTTTTCATGTCCACGCAAAAATTTGGTCGGTGTTAGATTCAATTGCGAAATCAGGTTTTTTTTTTGTTTTTTCATGGACTGTCGTAGCAAGTCGTCGTAAATGCAGCTTCAGGGTAAAGTTGTGTCGTATAACAGAGGTTTTTAATACATTGTTTCTAGTGAGCTTTGGCCAAGAACGAGTCTAATTCGTCATAAAATGCAAGCCATCACAAAGTTCAGTAATGAAATTGCAAAACTATGGAGCGAAGTGCAATTCATAGCCAATTTTTATAATACATGGAGCACATATCAGCAAAATAAATTGAATATATGGTGCCTTTAATGTTCTATTGTTCTGTTTGAGCATGTGCCTCATTTACACCTGATGTAAGGTATGTGTACTGTTGATCCTCTGAGTTGACACTGTGTATGCGTGTTATTGTTTTTTCAATATGTTCAGTTTTGGATGCTATTGGTGACCAGCACAGCTGCCTCTCACCCTTGATTACACACATTGTTTCAATATGGAACATTCTTGGTTCCTGGAATGTTTTTGTTTATATTATGGGCGAAGCTCCTTAAGGTGTGGTTCGTTCCCTCCTCTGCAATAGTATGTTCTAACAGTCACTTCTAGTTATATTTAAGAATATCTCACTAGATGGCATCGTGTGTATATGTCCTTGGAAATATCACTAGATGGCATTAGTGGTTTTAATATAAGTGATGTATAAAGAGGATAGCTGGCGATGTTATAATTATAAATTCACAGCATATCCACGGAGTGAATGATGAGTCGGACGAAGCGTCCATACGTTTGATGCGTGCTCTAGTTTGATAGAAACGCTCTAGTTTGAAAAAAATTATTGGACCAACAGACACATATGGACGGACAGACAGACGTTTTGCCCCACTCATCATCACTCATTCCATGGATATTCTGTGAATATTTTGTTGAAAACATGTTTTAAAGTCTATGCAATGTATTGTGGGCTACAGTATATTGCCACAAACACTTCTATTTTCATGTAACTGACTCATTGACATATAATGAGTGCCCTTGCGTTGCAGTGCGCCTAATTGTCAAACATTCTTAATATTGCTTATCATTCTGTTTGGCTTGAACGCAGAATGTAAACAGTGAATTTTATTATGGAGCTAACACTGCCACGAACAATAAAGCTGGAATCTTCAATAAATCCCGGCATGCTTGATCACATAATCACAATACAGATGGTGGATGCTGTGATTGCCATGGTGACTGTGGAGTGTTATTCGCTAGTGCTTTGACTTTTAATTGGCCGGGCATACATTTCTTGCAGGTTGAACAGAAGTCGTCAGGTACTGGCGGGGCGCAAGCGATTGGCACCAGTGACTGTCCAACGCTTCACAACTGCCCGCTACTTCCTCAGTGGCCTCTTAGTCACCGCAGCCCTAGTGACTGCCCTGGTCGTGCTCCTGCCAGGCGTGCCACCAAGTTCCGCAACACAAAACGATGTTGCCGACATGATTGAGCTCTGGCACGACCTATGCCGCTGGGGACCGGATCTTGTGACGCTGCGGCGCGGTGATCGTGCGCCACCAACGTGATTTTCAGGACTTGAGACATTTCTTCCTCTGTCGATGTCTTTCTCGTGGATGCTCTGCAAAGTGTGCATAGTTTCTGCGAGAATGTCTAGACACGAGCACCTGTGATGTGATCTTTTCAGATTATCCTCTTTTGTTAGTGTGTGTACATTTCAGTTCATACATTGATGTGTCACAGGACCAAACTTACAAGAAATAGACTGGTACAGGTTAGATTGACAAATGGCTCTTCGTTGTTTCATGAGATGTAGATAGTTGCTGCTAAGTAGCAGTGACAAGTCGCTGTCATTTTTTAGAAAAACTTCTTTTTCTTTTTGTCTGTGTGTGTGTGTGTGTGCATGTATGTTTGTGTCAGTATTTTTTACGCAATACAACTTCCCAGGAGCACGCTTCAAAGGAAGGTCAAACAAAGTGCTGCAGACTACATTGGCTAAATCGGCAGACCTCTGAAGTGTTCACGTGAACGGTGGCACGACACACTCATAATTCATAGATGTGTGGCCCATTGTGTTACCAGTGCATGTAAACACTACATTTAAGTTTCGAAAATTTTGGCAAGTCCGTGCCTACATAAGACTCAGCAAACCTGTCTGAAGACAGTTGTGGCTCAAACCTGGTCACACAATTTTCAGGCCCCTGCAATGTCCCAGGATCTTGAGTCTAGCCACGTCATACACGCCTGGCAAGTACTCATGCTGGCAATATCTCAATGAACGTTGTGCGTCATCATTGGTTCTACCACCTTGCCAATTCATTGCCAGTCTTTGCAAACGGTCCTCTTCAACTCAAGGAGAGTTCCATTTTGAGAGAACAAAGTTCACAAAACGTAGCAACTTAAAATTCGACTGCCACTCTACAGGCTTGCGTGTGCAGCTTGAAAACCATTGTATGCTGGCAGTTTGTCGTAATGCTGTCATAGAATCTGTTTTTGCTTTTTGTTGCAGTAGTTTTTTGGAACCGAGTGCCATGCGTGTGTATTATTTCGTCATGTGCAATACTACTTTTTTTTTTATCTCAAGCAAGAGATGTACAGTTTTTTTGTACAAAGCCTAGTATGACTACACCTTGTTCACATTTACTGACCTGTTCCAACGAGTTGATGTGTGAAAAGTATTCGCACCTGTGTGACTGTTAATAGTTTGTATTTATATATAGTTCTGTTTATTGCTGTTACAAGCTCTACGAGTTCATAAAGGTTTTGTAAAGTTTTATTAAGTGACCAGCCCTAAATTTGGGTTGAATTTTAGACATTTTAAACTTTAGTGTTTCTTGTGAGCTGAAAGAGAAAATGTTCATTTTTAAAGATTTATCTAGCAAACCACTTCAGTTTAGCTTTTCCAAGAAGGAAAGTATGTTGTAGAAGCATATTTCAAGTTTTTGTGTTCATGTTGTTTTCTGTTTTTTAGCTGAAAATAAATTTACTTCTGTGTTTGTCATAAGATCCTTCACAGTTGTTTTTGTCTATTCATACTGCCACCCCAACAAATAGTTAACACAGGGGTAGCAATGATGCAGTGAAAAAAACTAGAAGTGTTACGATTTCCTCACAGGACGTAAAAGTAAGAGCATAAGTGGTACTGGAGAAATCACTCTCGGTATTGTCTGGAAGTTACACAAGCATGGATGAGCACTGACATATGTGCAAATTGTCAGCACACATGTGCTCAACAGATATCTGGTGCCGAAGCAACCCAAGAACCTGCCCTGAATTTTCGACGCGAAAGTGTTTTTGGTCGGGGGTCTATCATGGCTTTGGTGACTTGCTTTTGTTACTGAAAAAAATACTCCCGATTGAAAAGCAAAGAAAAAAGTTGCCTCAATGGGAGTCGAACCCACGACTTAAGTCGGCAACAACAGAAGCTGCATGCTACCTACTGCGCCCCGACCACATGATCTGGCAGCTTTACAAACGCCTTTTATATTTAACACTGTCCTTTCAGTGCTCTTGATAAAGAGAAGTAAATGCATCATGACTGTAGCACCTGCGATTAGTTCTTCACCCCGCGTGACTGAGAGAAAACTCCAGGAGGCCTTCGTCATACAGTACACATAAAAGCATACAGCAGACATAAAAGTAGACCTCTGAGTGGAGAGTGCGAGGCGTTAACCACTGAGCCACGAAGGAGAACCTCCTTCAACGATTCAACATCAAGCTGTCTATATCTACAGCTCGCCGTTGCTGACGAACATCTCGGGGGGAGGGGGGAACTATCGTATTTTCAGCATTACCAGCGAGATGGCGCAATGAACGCGCATCGCCACATCGTCACGACGCGTTGGCGCGCACTTTCATCTCCCACGCGTACTTTGCGCCGTAGAAAAGAGGGAGGTGACGCTCTTTCGCGGTAGGAAGGATCGTACATTCTTGCCTGGCCTTGGGCTTTCATTAGAATGATTCTGTTGTAGTTACCCGGTGCACACAGGTCACTGCAATCGTTGCAGTCTCCGTTAGCGAAAAGAAAGTACTTTTTAGAGACAGCGAAGTAACAACCGAGACACGTATTCGCGTTAATCAGCACCTGTGAGTACGCTTTGTGCGTCATTTGTGTGTGAGAAGCGTGGGTCACGTTTCGATCTGCCTGCCATTCTGCGTGTGACCTTCCAATTTGTTGCTATCGCGTTCATTGCTTTGCCTTTGCGGCATAGCTGTGACTTTTATTCCCTGACCCACTCTTCTCTCGTCTTGTCACGTCAGGTAACACCTATCGTTATCCCTTTCATTGTTCGCTGCATCGCCCTCAATTTAATTTGAACCCCCCTTTGTGAGCCTACAGGTTTATGCTTGATAGATATAAGTATCCGTAATATGCAGCACTTTACCCTAACTCCTTATTACCTGATGACCTGATTACGAAGTACTTTGAGTAACTTGAAAGGACTTAAGAATAATCTCGATCCCCCACCTGGTATCTATCAACAAAACCCAAGTTGTGTTTGTGAGCTTCACCTTCAGCAAAATACGACAGCCGTGGATGACCTCAGGAGTCGTATATCCGAGCAGAATAGATATGACCTTGAACAGTCTTCGTTCGGTCATTAAGAAAATACGAGTATAATATGTCCTACAAGTTCGTAGCAGAGGGAGATGAATTGGCAAGTCATATACACAAGTGACGTCAAAGTGTGCTAAGTTAACCAATTTCTTTGCTTGGAGCCCCGCCGCGGTGGTCTAGTGGCTAAGGTACTCGGCTGCTGACCCGCAGGTCGCGGGATCAAATCCCGGCTGCGGTGGCTGCATTTCCGATGGAGGCGAAAATGTTGTAGGCCCGTGTGCTCAGATTTGGGTGCACGTTAAAGAACCCCAGGTGGTCGAAATTTCCGGAGCCCTCCACTACTGCGTCTCTCATAATCATATGGTGGTTTTGGGACGTTAAACCCCACATATCAATCAATCATCATTTCCTTGCTGGGATACCACACATCACTTTTCTGATATGATACGGGTGGTATTTTCTTTACGGCAGCTATTATCTTGCTTCCAGCTTCCTTTCTCTGTGTGTGATTCATGATAACACGTTTGAACAACCCATGATGTGGTTGGTAAACACGCTCGGTTAAGCATGTTCCTCAAAAAAGGGCCGAGACATTTTTGTTATCTCGTTTTTTTTAAAACTGAAGCTCGAGCTTGAGAACCACGCTGCATCAAGTACCACTGGCGCCGCCAACCGGATAGGCGATCGTAGATATTACCCTTGCTTTTTCTTCTCGTCTGGTACTCGCTTTCAGCATGACCTCCGAATGTACGATGAAAACTTCTGTCTAACCTTTTGATTTGTCGGCGCTGCCAAAACGAGTGACGGACATCTAGCCCTCATCGAATGCGCGGGGAGACGTAGATCTTTTTGAGTACAGCAGTTCAGCATTAAGGATAGTACTATAAACTTGCGGCAAGGCGGCAGTTTTGGTAAGACCGTTCCTGTGGAACGCGGCAGTGTGTTGAGCAGCCGTGCATCAGCGTCAGACATGACAGCCCAGGACATGGACGTGTTGTTCCGCCTCGTATCCATGGCGACGGACTCGCAGCTGTACACCCTCGACAACGTGAGGTTTCGGTGGCTTCCGTACATGAACGGAAGGCGTAGTAACACAATGGCCGTCAGGGCGCTCCGCAAAGCGGTGGAAAAAAGTCCCATCCGCCAGACCCGACTCGAGCGCCTGGCCTTTTTCTACTGCTGGCTGTCGCCGCTGCAACTTCTGCGTCCCTGGACTCTGATGAGGTTCAGCACCTGGGCGGCAAACGTGAACTACAGCCAGATGGAGTTGCTGAAGCAGATCGAAAACGCCATGAAGATCCTCGGCCTCAGGACAACGTTTATGGGGACGGACGCAGTAACGTCGGTCCACGGATGCATTATGGTCGAAGATACCGAATCGAACTCCCCAGCGCACGTGGTCTGCGTAAGTCAGTGGTATTGCTTGCCTTACTTGGCGGTGTACGCTCCGTCCGGTAAGATTCACTCGGAAATCTCGGTCGTTCTCGCCGCGGTGATGGACTGCGACCCCGCGCTCTTGGTGTGCGGCGTCTACGAAGACCTCGGCTCGGCCCACACCGCAGCTCTCCTCGACGCCACGAATCGGAGCTACAGCTCAACGATAAAGGTGGACAAGAGACTGCGGGACATGAATTTACAAGCGACAGGGCTGCGGCGACGTGGCAATGAAACGAACTCGAAGTGAGATAGTGCGTTTAGATTCTTGAACTCTTTTTTTTAACCTGACGTAACACCCCTTGCATTAAGCTAATAACTAGTTTCCACTCTCGCGTTGTTTGCGCTGTGTGGTCATCGCTTTTGTGAGACCCGCGTCTGTGTTAGAGCTGTGTTAGTTTACAGTGTTACGGGCTCGTTGACGGTGGAAATGAGGAATTCTGGGTAAAATAAAGTGCGCAAATACAGACAACGACTCCACAAGTTATACTGAAATGAGAAGCTTTTTTTTATTTTCGTATAACACTGTCAGAGAAGTTGAATGCGTTTTCGCGAGAAAGAATTTTTCAATACATAAAAAAATATTTGTTTTACTTCATATCAATTACCACTGGTGATACGCTTGGCAATGACAGCTGCGTGTGTGTTGTTCCAAAGTCTGTTTGAACCAGCCGAAGCCTTAGATATAATCTTATTTCTGTCAGGGTCGCGTTCTTTCTGTAGGATTATTGTGCTTCCTTCACTCTTTATGCAAGTAACCTTCTTTTTTTTAATCTCAACACCATCAACCTTGTCGTGAAGGGAAATAAATTATTCTTACGAGATGTTATCATGCCAGCGATAATTTTTGTTATATTTTTTCATGATCATATTGTTTCAGCTTGTACTTATTTGGCAACGGAGCTTCTTCTGCTTTCAGATGTCGTTTTCGCCGATAAGTTTAACAGGACGCTAAAGAAGAACCCAAGGGGAACTGACACCTCATTAAAATGGTTATTTTCACTCTGAACGGCATGGCGAAAAAATGTTTGAAGGGGGGAACGGTAACTGGATGCTTAAGAAGAACGGGAGGAGGGGCACCTCATTGAAATGGCCATTTTCACTCGGTATGTCATGGCGAAAAAAAAATGGGGGGAAGGTGGCATGGAACCAGTTTGTCATTTCGTGGTTACACCACATGAGGGGGGGAGGGATATGCAACGATTTTAAACTGCTATAGATACAGCTCGCGTGTTGGCAGTCATTTTGTAGTGCCTCAGGGTTCTCTGGATGACCCTGACCAGATCTAATAATGTCGCATGCCGTCACATAGATTTACGACTTCATATCATGACGATTGATTACCACGTTTAGACATGTATAGTGCCAACTCATCGCTTAAACCTATTACCGTTCACGTAATAAGAACTGCGCCGCTAAATAACGACTCCCGATTACCTTCACTTTCGAGATATGTCGCATGCGAATGCATGCGCTTAAGGCACACTAGTTTTTTTTTTTTTTCACCCTGGCTTTATCAGCCGCTTAATAAACAAATCTTTAGGACGATAAACAAGATCAGAAGCGCTTACTTTTGAAACGGCGTTTTGCCCACGGCTGTAGAGAGGTGGTTATGGTGCACGGCTTCTGACCTAGCAATTGCAGGTCCGATCCCGGCTACAGTGGTCCAAGACTGATGGTAGCGAAATTCTTGAGGACCATGTACTGATCGATGATGGTCCTCCTGAAAAAAAAAAACACTATCGGTAAATATTAGATCGACGTTGATTGTTGAAACATAGGTCCAGGAACCTCGTGGCGCTACATCTGTACCAACTGCTTGT